GACTGGATGTAGCTACAGTACAACATTGGCTTACAATGTACAGTGGGGAGAACAAGTATTTGATACACTGCCGATTTTGCAGGTTTTCCTATTTACAAAGCATGTAGAGGTCTGTACTTTTTATCATAGGTACACTTCAACTGTGAGAGACGGAATCTAAAACAAAAATCCAGGAAATCACATTGTATGATTTTTAAGTAATTAATTTGCATTTTATTGCATGACATAAGTATTTGATACATCAGAAAAGCAGAACTTAATATTTGGTACAGAAACCTTTGTTTGCAATTACAGAGATCATATGTTTCCTGTAGGTCTTGACCAGGTTTGCACACACTGCAGCAGGGATTTTGGCCCACTCCTCCATACAGACCTTCTCCAGATCCTTTAGGTTTCGGGGCTGTCGCTGGGCAATACGGACTTTCAGCTCCCTCCAAAGATTTTCTATTGGGTTCAGGTCTGGAGACTGGCTAGGCCACTCCAGGACCTTGAGATGCTTCTTACGGAGCCACTTCTTAGTTTCCCTGGCTGTGTGTTTCGGGTCGTTGTCATGCTGGAAGACCCAGCCACGACCCATCTTCAATGCTCTTACTGAGGGAAGGAGGTTGTTGGCCAAGATCTCGCGATACATGGCCCCATCCATCCTCCCCTCAATACAGTGCAGTTGTCCTGTCCCCTTTGCAGAAAAGTATCCCCAAAGAATGATGTTTCCACCTCCATGCTTCACGGTTGGGATGGTGTTCTTGGGGTTGTACTCATCCTTCTTCTTCCTCCAAACACGGCGAGTGGAGTTTAGACCAAAAAGCTCTATTTTTGTCTCATCAGACCACATGACCTTCTCCCATTCCACCTCTGGATCATCCAGATGGTAATTGGCAAACTTCAGACGGGCCTGGACATGCGCTGGCTTGAGCAGGGGGACCTTGCGTGCGCTGCAGGATTTTAATCCATGACGGCGTAGTGTGTTATTAATGGTTTTCTTTGAGACTGTGGTCCCAGCTCTCTTCAGGTCATTGACCAGGTCCTGCCGTGTAGTTCTGGGCTGATCCCTCACCTTTCTCATGATCATTGATGCCCCACGAGGTGAGATCTTGCATGGAGCCCCAGACCGAGGGTGATTGACCGTCATCTTGAACTTCTTCCATTTTCTAATAATTGCGCCAACAGTTGTTGCCTTCTCACCAAGCTGCTTGCCTATTGTCCTGTAGCCCATCCCAGCCTTGTGCAGGTCTACAATTTTATCCCTGATGTCCTTACACAGCTCTCTGGTCTTGGCCATCGTGGAGAGGTTGGAGTCTGTTTGATTGAGTGTGTGGACAGGTGTCTTTTATACAGGTAACGAGTTCAAACAGCTGCAGTTAATACAGGTAATGAGTGGAGAACAGGAGGGCTTCTTAAAGAAAAACTAACAGGTCTGTGAGAGCCGGAATTCTTCCTGGTTGGTAGGTGATCAAATACTTATGTCATGCAATAAAATGCAAATTAATTACTTAAAAATCATACAATGTGATTTTCTGGATTTTTGTTTTAGATTCCGTCTCTCACAGTTGAAGTGTACCTATGATAAAAAGTACAGACCTCTACATGCTTTGTAAGTAGGAAAACCTGCAAAATCGGCAGTGTATCAAATACTTGTTCTCCCCACTGTAGATGCTAAAACCAGTGTTAAATCTGTCATGTGAAAATCCAATGGCAATGGGCAGATTGAAGCTCATTCTGAGTGCTGTACATCTGTAAGCCTACTTACAGTGAGGGAAAAAAGTATTTGATTCCCTGCTGATTTTGTACGTTTGCCCACTGACAAAGAAATGATCAGTCTATAATTTTAATGGTAGGTTTATTTGAACAGTGAGAGACAGAATAACAACAAAAGAATCCAGAAAAAAACGCATGTCAAAAATGTTATAAATTGATTTGCATTTTAATGAGGGAAATAAGTATTTGACCCCTCTGCAAAACATTACTTAGTACTTGGTGGCAAAACCCTTGTTGGCAATCATAGAGGTCAGACGTTTCTTGTAGTTGGCCACCAGGTTTGCACACATCTCAGGAGGGATTTTGTCCCACTCCTCTTTGCAGATCTTCTCCAAGTCATTAAGGTTTCGAGGCTGACGTTTGGCAACTCGAACCTTCAGCTCCCTCCACAGATTTTCTATGGGATTAAGGTCTGGAGACTGGCTAGGCCACTCCAGGACCTTAATGTGCTTCTTCTTGAGCCACTCCTTTGTTGCCTTGGCCGTGTGTTTTGGGTCATTGTCATACTGGAATACCCATCCACGACCCATTTTCAATGCCCTGGCTGAGGGAAGGAGGTTCTCACCCAAGATTTGACGGTACATGGCCCTGTCCATCGTCCCTTTGATTCGGTGAAATTGTCCTGTCCCCTTAGCAGAAAAACACCCCCAAAGCATAATGTTTCCACCTCCATGTTTGACGGTGGGGATGGTGTTCTTGGGGTCATAGGCAGCATTTCTCCTCCTCCGAGTTGAGTTGATGCCAAAGAGCTCGATTTTGGTCTCATCTGACCACAACACTTTCACCCAGTTCTCCTCTGAATCATTCAGATGTTCATTGGCAAACTTCAGACAGGCCTGTCTATGTGCTTTCTTGAGCAGGGGGACCTTGCGGGCGCTGCAGGATTTCAGTCCTTCACGGCGTAGTGTGTTCCCAATTGTTTTCTTGGTGACTATGGTCCCTGCTGCCTTGAGATCATTGACAAGATCCTACGTGTAGTTCTGGGCTGATTCCTCACCATTCTCATGATCATTGCAACTCCACGAGGTGAGATCTTGCATGGAGCCCCATGCCGAGGGAGATTGACAGTTCTTTTGTGTTTCTTCCATTTGCGAATAATCGCACCAACTGTTGTCACCTTCTCACCAAGCTGCTTGGCGATGGTCTTGTAGCCCATTCCAGCCTTGTGTAGGTCTACAATCTTGTCCCTGACATCCTTGGAGAGCTCTTTGGTCTTGGGCTGATCTGATTGATTGATTGCTTCTGTGGACAGCTGTCTTTTATACAGGTAACAAGCTGAGATTAGGAGCACTACCTTTAAGAGTGTGCTCCTAATCTCAGCTCGTTACCTGTATAAAAGACACCTGGGAGCCAGAAATCTTTCTGATTGAGAGGGGGTCAAACACTTATTTCCCTCATTAAAATGATAATCAATTTATGCGTTTTTCTGGATTTTTTTGTTGTTATTCTGTCTCTCACTGTTCAAATAAACCTACCATTAAAATTATAGACTGATAATGTCTTTGTCAGTGGGCAAACGTACAAAATCAGCAGGCAATCAAATACTTTTTTCCCTCACTGTACTTTCAGAAGGCACTGTAAGTATCAAAAGTAAATGGAATTGCTAAAATATACTTAAATATCAAAAGTCAAAATCAATTCCTTAAATTAAGCAAACCAGACGGCACAATTGTTTTATTTTAGTTCTTTTACGGATAGCTACGGGCACACTCCAACACTCACACATAATTTACAAACAAAGCATTTGCTTTTAATGAATCCACCAGATCAAAGGCAGTAGGGATGACCAGGGATGTTGTCTTGATAAGTGTGTAAATTGGACCATTTTCCTGTATTGCTAAGCATTCAAAATCAATCAAATACTTTTTTTTCCCTCACTGTAAGTATCTTGTCATATAGCCTACTTAAACTTGCAGAGATTTATTTTAAGAGCTAAAAGCCATGTTTCAAATGTTATTAAAAGTCAATAACCTCAGAATTTCTTTGGAGCTAATGGACGGTTGGAACATGTAAATCTAAAATGGAGATACATCAATGAGTTATTGACATAATATACTAGGCATATTTAAAATGTTATGGGCAAAATTATCATCTAAGAATCTGAGCTAGCTAACAAAAAATCATGGTTTCTCTAGAAAAGGGACTGCTTGCTTGGACCATTTAAATCCAATTTTTAGACACATTGACAAGTTGTTGATAAAGGATGATTTCAGACTGTCTCTGTGGCAGAATACGTTGAAAATAATTTCTCTCACTGGGTGCCTCTAAGTGTAAAAAAACACCATTGATCTTTCCTCCAGCCTACACTAATGGGGTCAGTGATGACGAGGTGTCTGCATTATGACTCATACGTAGACACAAACCAGCTGTGCCACTGATCGTTCACCAGAGGAGCCTGCATGATGTCTTTACGAAGAGTAACCCAAGGAGGCGCAGACTCGCTCCCTCTCAGGTCCCAGGTGCCTTTTCTGTCTGCAGGTCATTAAAGGACAGCGGAGTGTTAATCAGCAGAAGAGTGGCATCACCTGATGGCTACAGCGACAGTGAATTAGGTAACGGCCTTGGAATATGAGCTGGAGCTAAACTTGAATTAATGGAGTACTGTAATTCTATTTGGAAGCAAAACTAAGAGTATTTCACAATAATAAATAAATAGATGTAGCTTCTTTAGTCTTCTTTATTGTATTTACACCAAAACGGTGTAATTTAACTATTGCTTCTTCCAATCTAATCTAAAAGAATAGTAGTGCCTGTTGTATAGGCTAGTTATGTGACAATACTGTATTATTCACAATACATTATTCAGATTTACAGGTTCATGGCATTATGTCAGCTTTCTATATCAAGGTAAATAATAGATCAAGAAGAAGAGAGAAATGTAACAGACATTGTTTTGAATAGTGGGCTTTGCACTAATCAAAACAATGCAGGCATTATCGTCGATATATTGTATCGTGTCATACTGTATAGGCCAGCACCACCCTCAGTTAAACAGCGCCCGTGCTATTCACGGTCATCTAAACTTCTCCTCAACAGCAGAAGAGCTCATCACACCACGTCGACCAATAGCAAAACAGGCTTTAGCAGATAGGCTACTCATCCATCCATCCATCCATCCATCCTTTTGCCGTTGTACAATAGAACCGATATTACTAGTCCAAGTAGTAAACACGAGGCTGAATTAGTCATTTTCCCAGTTGGTAATTTTGGACAGTGGTTTAATAAGGAGAAAAGTAAATGATAGAATGGATACTTGCTCTATCAACGATGAGGGCGCAGACGCTATCGTCATGGATTCGCCAATAACTGAAAGACCTACACGGGAGACATTTCAAAGGTACGTAGCCTTTCGTTTTCTGTTTACCTCAAAAATGCACGGTGTTAAGTCTGGTCGGCTGTCAAGTTATTCCTCTGCGTCATTAAATATACATTTGTATTGGTGCTTTGTCCATCCCATGTCAGTGTAGGCTATATCAATCTGTCTATCAATCAATATAAATGTTCTGTGTATTTGTAAGCACTTGACGACCACAGGCAATACATGACATGGATTTCTCAGGGTCCTATTCTTCAATCTTGTATTTATTATAACCTACAAATGTGCCACTGCTTACATGAATTGTAAATCAAGAGCAGACTAAACTGGAAGAAGTCTATCTTTTCATTTACTCTTGTTTGGTGGGTGAGAAAAACATTGATTTTGTATTTGTAAAATGTGTTCTCAAATGCGCTACAATAGCAGCCAATCTCTCCCCAGAGAATGTTTCATTGAAATGTAATAGTCCAATAACCAATTTGTAAGTCACTCCGGATAAGAGCCTCTGCTAAATGACTTAAATGTAAATAACAGGTGGAGTGTGGCAGTCTATTCACCCAATCCACTCCCACATTCACTTCCATACGCAATCTCCCGGGATCCAGAGATATCTGCTATTCCTCGGCTATCCACTCTGTGCTCTCCCAAGTCAGCATAATGCAGATATGCATATGACATTGCTGACACAATAGCCTACTGTAGGGTCGGCTCAGGGGAAACCACAAATCCACAGCGCAAAACTCCACCATACCAGTTTTTTGATAGATAACTAATAGTCACTACATTGCCCCTGCTTTAGTTTAGCCGTCAACATTGGACATACATTATATATACAGTGGGGAGAACAAGTATTTGATACACTGCAGATTTTGCAGGTTTTCCTACTTACAAAGCACCTGGAGGTCTGTAATTTTTATCATAGGTACACTTCAACTGTGAGAGACGGAATCTAAAACAAAAATCCTTTTGTATGATTTTTAAGTAATTCATTTGCATTTTATTGCATGACATAAGTATTTGATACATCAGAAAAGCAGAACTTAATATTTGGTACAGAAACACCTGTTATTGACACTGTAGGAGGGAGTGACAACCACAGAGGTAATAGTTGAAAGATCCTGAAGTCAGTGTACCATCTCTTTCCAAACCTGTTTTCTTTTAGGTTTGCAAATGCATAGAGCTGTTATGTATTGGTCTTGACTAATGATAAAAATAAAATACATTTTATCCTATTTCACACATGTACAAGTATGTATTAAAACGCGTGTGAATTAAAGATGTGTTATTTTTTTGCATATCCCACTCTCAATGATTATGTGCATCCACTGACTCAGGTACCCTTGTCAAACTTCCCCATGATGCATCAGCTGCCTGCTTATTCAGTAGCCAACCACAACAATCAATATTCAATTCTGCATGAGAAGTACCAGATGCATCATAACAATTAGGCGAATGGTTAAATTATGTAAAACCAAGAGTGGTTAAATGCTGTAAAACCAAGAGTGGTTAAATGCTGTAAAACCAAGAGAGTGGTTAAATGAGATCAAGGGAGAAAAAAAAAAGATCACCACCTCCCAATGATATATGCAGTTACACATTTCCTATCGGACACCAATGTGTTTCTGCATGTTACTCCATATCATCCACACCTGACCTTACATGGCTGGAGATCATAAACGTTTTTGCTACAGTGCACTCCTCCTACTGAACAGGACCCTGGCACATCACGTTGGTCCAAACAAAGGACAAATACTGACATGGTTCCCTCTTATGAACAACGTGCTTGCTAATACCATCTCCATAAATCAATAAACAGGCCACCAGTAGCAGTGCGGGGGGAAAACATGAAAGCAGCAGTGTCAGCAATACCTTCTTTAGACCCAAATACGATGTCATATCAACGTTTAACAAAAAGCACAGCGCTGTTCCACCGAGGGTGGTGCTTGCCTACAGTATGACACGAAAACAATGTAGCAGAGTATCAACATAGTAACACCCGCTTTAGAGCGAAATACAACGTTTCCCATGTCAACTCATATTTCAGAGATTGGCAATATCTCAGGCGATTGTTGTTTGAATACGTAGCTTGCAGACCGGGGGCTCGTAACGCCTAGCTGGAGGTATTTTTTTTTGTAACTGCTCTGTTCAATAATGAATTGGTTCCACAAATTTACATTTTAGTCATTTAGCAGACGCTCTTATCCAGAGCGACTTACAGTTAGTGAGTGCATACATTTTTCATACTTCATATTACCTAGCTGTGCAAGCATGACCTAGCTCTATTAAAAGCTGTCAATGAGAAGCAGTGAATACCAGGAGTTTTACCACTGCAGTAACACGGTCCTAAGGAGTGCAGTGGGCAGCAGGCACCTGCTGCTAGCACAGAAGCCCCCATCATGCTGCCGTCAGTGCACTGTGCAGCTTGTGATGTGTCAGGTGAGGGGTACATGGCAACTTCTAATTGGACAGCAAATAAATCATGCTTTCACCTGAGTAAGTTCAGAAGCAAGCTGGTGACGCATCAGCCACCGAACAGCAACATATTTTTTCCCCCCCTGCCAAAATGGTGATCTTGATGGGGTCTTTTGAGTGGAACCACGACATAGGTTTGAGAAATTGACTCCACACTTTTAAGCGACCGATCCATCTTAAGACACTTTATATTATTAATACAGCTACATTTTGAAATGCACAATGGCACACAGTGAAGTTGTGATGAATTTGCTGTCCGCCTATCTCTCCGGTGGTTGGACATGCAAATAAAGCCCTCAAGTGCTGATCCATATGCTCGCCGTTTACTTACCCCGTCACCTTGGTGATGGGGGGGGTCAATGAAGTGCGTCTCAGTACACCCAGACGACCAGGTCTGGAAAAACAACCCATAACGTCATTTGACCCTCTAACCGGAGTCAGATTGAAATTAGACTGTGCATAAATGTCTGCTTGTCCCCCCACAATGAAATCTGGGAGGGGACTGTGGATATGTTTGACCCTCTAACCGGAGTCAGATTGAAATTACACTGTGCATAAATGTCTGCTTGTCCCCCCACAATGAAATCTGGGAGGGGACTGTGGATATGTTTGACCCTCTAACCGGAGTCAGATTGAAATTACACCGTGCATAAATGTCTGCTTGTCACCCACAATGAAATCGGGGAGGGGACTGTGGATATGTTTGACCCTCTAACCGGAGTCAGATTGAAATTACACCGTGCATAAATGTCTGCTTGTCCCCCATAATGAAATCGGGGAGGGGACTGTGGATATGTTTGACCCTCTAACCGGAGTCAGATTGAAATTAGACTGTGCATAAATGTCTGCTTGTCCCCCATAATGAAATCGGGGAGGGGACTGTGGATATGTTTCCGTCCGGTCCTACGTTAGTCACACGTGATAGCTCAGACAGCACTGGTCAATGTTGACGAAACTTGGGTGAATGATATGCTTCTTGCCATGGAGATATGGCATTTTCTAAATTACACTGATTGGCCCAAGGCGGGTGCTATAGTAATTAACTGGAAATGTGTTAGTCACATGCGATATCTCAATTGGCCCAAGGGGGGACGCTGCATCCTTCGTGGGGGACGACATGTTTACTGTTGCCTTGTAATAACGTGAATTCAATATTACTTACAGTTCAGTAAATAGGGATTCTGACTTATAAACGTTAATTGTCATTAGGCCTAATGCAATTACTAATAGTGCTTAACGTGGTCAGCTCTCTCTCTCTCTCTCTCTCTCTCTCTGACGGTCAGCAGAGTTTCATAGTGTATAGTTTATGTCCAGTTCCTTAGAGGAAACATGAGGAAGAAAAAGCACATAACTTAACCCATAACATCTGTGCATAACTTAACCCATAACATCTGTGCATAACTTAACCCATAACATCTGTGCATAACTTAACCCATAACATCTGTGCATAACTTAACCCATAACATCTGTGCATAACTTAACCCATAACATCTGTGCATAACTTAACCCATAAACTGTGCATAACTGAACCCATAACATCTGTGCATAACTGAACCCATAACATCTGTGCATAACTGAACCCATAACATCTGTGCATAACTGAACGCATAACATCTGTGCATAACTGAACCCTAAATCTGTGCATAATAACACAAACATATTGCAATGCACTTCTCCATAACTCGGGCATAACTTACCATAACATCTGTGCATAACTTAACCCATAACTGTGCATAACTGAACCCATAACATCTGTGCATAACTTAACACATAACATCTGTGCATAACTTAACACATAACATCTGTGCAATGCACTTCTTCCATAACATCGGTGCATAACTTAACCCATAACATCTGTGCAATGCACTTCTTCCATAAACCATGAGTCATTCTTCATCAGATCCACTGCAGTCTTCATCCACAGGACTCTCTTTCGGATGTTGAAAGGCAGGCAGGGCAGACGGAGCAATCTCTTGGCCTAATTGGGCCTTCAAGCAACGCAACGCAACAATACTTTAGACGTCATTCCTTAACTAATTCATTTGGTTTGCCTAATTGGGTTTCAAGCAACGCAACAATGTAGTAAAACTGTTGCAGCCGGAGAAGCAGATGAGCTGAAACACTGATTATCGAAAATTCCGGTGTACATTTGACGATGACAAGCAATGCCACTGTAGGGGTTATAAATAAATACACATTTCCCCCCCTATCTGTTTTTTTTTTTTCCACAGTGAGATACCGGAGTTGTCACTGTGTCCTCCTGACAGTGTGTGCCCGGAGGCCCAGGCCACTCTGATCCAGGACCAGTCTGACAGCTGCAGCCTCCCCAGGCCCTCCTCCTCCACCTCCTCCCAGCTCTACCACCAAGTCTCCCAGGGATGCACCTACCATTCGCCGCAGCACCGACGATGTCACTGTTGTGGCCATCACAAGCCAATCAAAGGCAAAGCCTGTCTGGAGTCGCACCCAATCACTGTGGGTCCTCCTCACGCCGACTGCTCGACGGGCGCTGTCAAGACGGGTCGCAGCTGCAGCCCCTCCCATGTCCCTTCCTGTCACAACTCTGTCCGCTGCCACTGGCTGCACGGTTCCCATGATGGCGGTGGCCCCCACAAGTCCAAACAGCATCATGTGATCACAGTCAGGTCTGTATTCTATATACTGTACACAAGCATAATTATCATGCAAAAATATAACAAGGTCAATGACGCATCATTATTTGTCTATTTCAGGGATGACGGACTCTACTGGATCCCTAGAAAGTCAGTATCCACGACAACAAGATAATTGTGTAACAGCAAAATGAACTACAATTTCCATTGCATCCAACGTGCAGTGCATGGCAGAAATTAGGACAACAAATATATTTAGTCTTTCATTTAGCTATACAACATGGTTTTAAGCTCAAAATAATATTTAATTCAACTATACATGGTTCTAAGCTCAAAATAGTATTTCATTTAGCTATACAACATGGTTCTAGGCCCAAAATAGTATTTCATTTAGCTATACAACATGGTTCTAAGCTCAAAATAGTATTACATAACTCAAAATATGAGTACTGGTGACCAATGTTTTGAGATTTAATGTTAAATGTTGTACTTAACTGAAAAATGCTTGAACCATGATTTTTCTAGCACACCCACTGAGTGAGATGTACAGTACAGTCCTTTAACTATGCAAAGCCCATTAGAGATGTGTCACTGAGATCCTCTTTTCCTGTGGCACTTTCTTGACAGTTACTCCCAGGTGGTAGTGGAGTATCCCCTGGCGGTGCTCGTTGGGTGTGTAGCGGTCCTGCTGGGATGCTCCCTAGCTGGCCTGTTGATTGGTCCCCTGCCAGACTTCTCTGACCCGCTGATGGTGAGTGTCTCCCTCGGCAGCACTGTCGCTTTCTCTCCAACATCCTGTCAAACCGAACGCTACCGTAAACACTTCTTTAGCTTGCTCCCCTGCCTCTTGAAAAGCTGCCGCAGAAAAAGTAGACCCTGCAGATCTAAAAAAAAAAATATTGTCAGCTCAGAAATACAAGTGTAACCATATCAGTGCAATTGCAGGTCTAATGAGCAGTCAAGGATAGTTACATAAACTGATTGAATTACCAATTGTGTAATAAATGATTTAAACCCATTGCGATAAACATGTAATTATGTAATAATGGCAGAGACCAGGGTAAAAATTAATCTTGAACACAACGCTATATCAATCAACACTGCATGTACAATGTCACCGTCAATCTTCAAAGCATCCATTCCTAGTATGTCACTAAACATACATTAGCATCTAATCAGTCTTCATTCACCTACTGTAGGCCAAACAGTCAGCATTAGGTGTACATATTTCTCATGTAAATTAATTCAGTGCATTGTTTTCCTGCTTGGGCTGTCGTCAGGAGATGCTGTTCTATTGACTTTGATGTTTTTAATGCAGGGGTTTGAGCCTCGAGGAACATACATCGGGGTGCGACAGTCTGCCTTGGCTAAGCTTCAGGAGAACACGGGGCCTGGAAACACACTGTCTTTGATACCGCAACAGCTCAAAGACAAGACAGCTGGGAGGTACTGTGCTAAAACCGGAGGAGCTCTTCACCACACACTGAGAGCCCTGCACAAAATGGCTGCCAACACAAAGTAGAACCATGGGACATTGAGTTCACTCAGCCCCAGATTATAATTACTCACTAAAACAGGCTACAATTTGGCATCTTTCAGTTCAGAGGCACGATACAGATGGAACAGGGCTACACTTGCACCTGATATAGTATAGCTACGATGTAAAAAATGCTGGATAGTTGTATATGGAGTCCATATGTCCATTGTTGCTTGGGGTGCTGATTTAGCTATTGCCTGTGTGATTGATATGAATTGTCTAGAAGTCTCATGTATAATTGTGTTGCGTTCATGTTTATTTATGAAGCTATGGAGATGGTAGCGGAGGGGATGCCGGTGGGAGCCAGGAACAGTCGTCCAGGCAACGGTCTAGAAGAATGCTAGACAGGGATTCGGCCCAGGACACATTCCTCTGTGACGCTCCAGGTAGGCTACTAACACTAATCAACACTCACATGATGGTGTTGTCTCTCTGCTACTAGAGAAATGTTCCATAATGTATCAATCGAAAATCTAGGTATTGACCAGCTAGTTCATCATTCCAGTGTTCACTTTCAGTTATGAGCAAAACATAAGCAATCCCTCTGGCTACATTGTATAAGTGGTGACTGAGGACAGTCTTTGTTGAGGCCATGTTCTTGCCTCCATCTGTGGCATCACAGGAGAACGCTACGCCCAGCTGGTCTTCCGCTCGGGAAACTCTGCCAGTCTTTGGAGCCTGAAGGCGATCTACTCCATGTGCGAGATGGAGCAGGCCAGGGTAGGTCTTCACACATCTTTAAATCAGCAGACCATCTGCCATACAGTGGGGGAAAAAAAGTATTTAGTCAGCCAACAATTGTGCAAGTTCTCCCACTTAAAAAGATGAGAGAGGCCTGTAATTTTCATCATAGGTACACGTCAACTATGACAGACAAAATGAGGAAAGAAAATCCAGAAAATCACATTGTAGGATTTTTTATGCATTTATTTGCAAATTATGGTGGAAAATAAGTATTTGGTCAATAACAAAAGTTTCTCAATACTTTGTTATATACCCTTTGTTGGCAATGACACAGGTCAAACGTTTTCTGTAAGTCTTCACAAGGTTTTCACACACTGTTGCTGGTATTTTGGCCCATTCCTCTATGCAGATCTCCTCTAGAGCAGTGATGTTTTGGGGCTGTCGCTGGGCAGCACAGACTTTCAACTCCCTCCAAAGATTTTCTATGGGGTTGAGATCTGGAGACTGGCTAGGCCACTCCAGGACCTTGAAATACTTCTTACGAAGCCACTCCTTCGTTGCCCGGGCGGTGTGTTTGGGATCATTGTCATGCTGAAAGACCCAGCCACGTTTCATCTTCAATGCCCTTGCTGATGGAAGGAGGTTTTCACTCAAAATCTCACGATACATGGCCCCATTCATTCTTTCCTTTACACAGATCAGTCGTCCTGGTCCCTTTGCAGAAAAACAGCCCCAAAGCATGATGTTTCCACCCCATGCTTCACAGTAGGTATGGTGTTCTTTGGATGCAACTCAGCATTCTTTGTCCTCCAAAACACGACGAGTTGAGTTTTTACCAAAAAGTTATATTTTGGTTTCATCTGACCATATGACATTCTCCCAATCCTCTTCTGGATCATCCAAATGCACTCTAGCAAACTTCAGACGGGCCTGGACATGTACTGGCTTAAGCAGGGGGACACGTCTGGCACTGCAGGATTTGAGTCCCTGGCGGCGTAGTGTGTTACTGATGGTAGGCTTTGTTACTTTGGTCCCAGCTCTCTGCAGGTCATTCACTAGGTCCCCCCGTGTGGTTCTGGGATTTTTGCACACCGTTCTTGTGATCATTTTGACCCCACGGTGTGAGATCTTGCGTGGAGCCCCAGATCGAGGGAGATTATCAGTGGTCTTGTTTGTCTTCCAATTTCTAATAATTGCTCCCACAGTTGATTTCTTCAAACCAAGCTGCTTACCTATTGCAGATTCAGTCTTCCCAGCCTGGTGCAGGTCTACAATTTTGTTTCTGGTGTCCTTTGACAGCTCTTTGGTCTTGGCCATAGTGGAGTTTGGAGTGTGACTGTTTGAGGTTGTGGACAGGTGTCTTTTATACTGATAACAAGTTCAAACAGGTGCCATTAATACAGGTAACGAGTGGAGGACAGAGGAGCCTCTTAAAGAAGAAGTTACAGGTCTGTGAGAGCCAGAAATCTTGCTTGTTTGTAGGTGACCAAATACTTATTTTCCACCATAATTTGCAAATAAATTCATTAAAAATCCTACAATGTGATTTTCTGGATTTTTTTTTCTCAATTTGTCTGTCGTAGTTGACGTGTACCTATGATGGAAATTACAGGCCTCTCTCATCTTTTTAAGTGGGAGAACTTGCACAATTGGTGGCTGACTAAATACTTGTTTTCCCCATTGTATATCCACCATTACTAACCAGACCACGAAATCAGGGAGCCAACTCAAACTAATTAAATACCTTTCTGGGCTACAGAACTTGGCAGGCACTGATAGCACACATCTTTAAACGTTGATATTTATTTGAAAGAGAACAAAAAGGTGTTATTGATCCCCATTAGCTGGTAGATGAAAATAAGTTATGTGAAAAGTTGCTATAAAATCTGTCCCTTTCAATTTACTCTTATAATAAAAGGTATATGGAACATCAATTACATTGATTTGGCCATGGGTAGAGGGAGAATAAATCAATAGATGTGTTAAAATGCCAAACTTCTCTTCTCCATGTTTCAGATTCGTTCACAACCCCACTTCCAAGATCTCTGCAAGCAACATATCCGATTGGAAGTGGACGGTGCCATGATCAGGGGCGGATGCTGTCCAAGTTGGTCACTGGGAAACTACCTGGCCCTTCTCAGCAACGCCTCGTCCTGTCTCAGCCTGACCTCTGTGCAGGTGTCAGAGAGTCTGAGCCTACTTCGCCACTGCGCCCCATACTACCACGACGGAAGCCTGGTGGCATATTGTGCAGAGAGGGGCTCGCAAGGCAACTGTGCATCTGTGCCGACTCGGTGCAAACATTCTCGTGCCGTATTCCAGATATTGCATTACCTGGTTGATAAGGACTTCCTAGGGCCACAGACAATAGAATATCAGGTCCCCTCACTGAAATATAGCCTCCTGTTTCTACCGGTGGAAAAAGGAGATCACTTGATGGAGATATACATGAACAGCCTTGAAGGTCGTGAGCTTACATATAAGAACACTACTATTACAGGAATGGACCTAGGCATCAAGCAAAAGCTATTCAAGTATTACCTGGCTAGGGACGCCATCTACCCTGTTCTGGCTGTAGTTTCGCTGTTCCTCACCACAGCCCTTTATTTGCGGTCCCTTTTCCTAGCAGCTCTGTCTTTAGTCGCAATTGTGGGTTCTCTCTTGACTTCCTATTTCTTCTACAAAGTGGTTTTCCAGCTGACATTCTTCCCTTTCCTCAACTTAGCTTCAGCTTTCATCCTGTTCGGCAGTTGCTCTAACCAGGCTTTCACTTTCATTGATTTCTGGAACCTACAACTATCCCAGAATCCACCCGTTTCTCTAGAGATAAGAGTCAATCGAGTTCTCCAAGAGGTTGGGTATTTGATATTGGCATCAGGCCTGACTTCTAGTGCCACGTTCTTCTCGGGGTTCCTGAGCAGCATCACGGCAGTCAGATGCTTTGCCGTGTACCTGGGAACGGCTTCCTTAATCTGTACTCTTTCCGCCCTTGCGTGGCTACCCAGCTCGCTCATTTTACGTGAGCGCTACACAGTGACAGTCTCTGTTACTGCAAAGGCCTGGAAGCCTTGCTGCACGAAAAGCCCTGGCGGGTTCTGGGACAAAAGCTCGCGAAAGCGGTGCCTCTTCACCTTTGGTCAGAAGCTACGAGGGTTGAAGCGGGGACTGTCCGACACCTCCAATTTACTTTTCCTGAAAATCCTCCCGTGTGGAGTGGTCAAGTTCAGATACATTTGGGTCTGCTGGTTCGCAGTGTTGGCCGCAGGAGGAACATACATCTCGGTTGTAGACCCTGGTATGAGACTACCCACTTTAGACAACAGGGCAACTCAGTTATTTCGCTCCAGCCATCCCTTTGAAAGATATGACGCCGAATATCGCTACCAATTCATGTTTGAACGGCTGGTGAATGGGGAGGACAAGCTCATTACATTGACTCTTGTTTGGGGAGTCATCCCAACCGATAATGGCAATCACTTTGATCCAAAAAGCAATGGATCTTTAGTTATGGATCCAGAGTTTAACATGAGTAGCCCAGAGTCTCAGGTGTGGTTGAGAGACTTGTGTGAAAGAGTTCAAAACCAGAGTTTTTATTTACCATCATCGTCGTCGTCTGAAAACGAAGGCGCAACGGACAACGTCTGTATTGTCGAGCAACTCATACACTGGGTGTCTATTCGACGTTGCTCAGAGAGCGAGGATGCCTTCCATTTTTGCTGCAACAATATTCCCTTTCCTTACCCACCGGGTGTTTTTGAACAATGCCTGAGTATGATGGTGGCCGAGCGGCATTCAGAGGGTTATGTGTCCGAGGTTGGAGGCCTACATTTTGAGGCAGATGGTCGAATAGCAGCCCTGGTAATGGTATTTAGGACTACACATCGCTATAGCTACAACTTTAGTCACACCACCCTTTTCTATAATGATATTGTGTCATGGTTTAATGGAGAAATGTCTGGGGCACCACTGGGACTAAAGGAAGGATTTTTCGTGAGCCAGTTGACACTGTTTGACTTGCAACAATGTCTAAGCTCAGAAACCCTCGAGGTCACTGGGTTCTCTGTAGCCCTAGTGTTTGTCTTGCTTCTTCTGACCACGTGGAATATTCCACTGAGTATTTATGGCACTGCTGCTGTTGGAGGAAGTGTTTTTGTCACCGTCGGCCTCCTGGTCCTTCTAGAATGGCAGCTCAGTGGTGTGGAGGCACTCTACATATCAGCTGCTGCTGGGCTCTCCGTCGACTTTTTGGCCAACTACTGCATATCATATAATTCAGCTCCGCACTCTGATAGAATTGGAAGAGTTGCGCATTCTCTGAAAAGAATGAGCTGTCCTGTAGCAATAGGATCCGGGGCCTTCTGCTGTGTGGGCATCGCCATGCTTCCTACTACTGCTTTGTTGTTCAGAAAGCTGGGGATTTTCTTATTTCTGGTGAAATGTGTAGCGTGTGGATTTGCCACCTTCTTTTTCCAATCCCTGTGCTGCTTTATTGGTCCTCAAAAGAACTGTGGGAAAATAATGTTGCCGTGTTCATCTGAACAGGGAACTGAAGGGATGCCGTCCTGCTCAGCAGCGGAACCTAGGTCCTCGACCTGCGCAGCCAACGGGGCTTTTGGAAGATCAAGAGTTCGAAGGAATTTCAATAAAGACGAGGGTAATTACCTTTACCCGAACCATCAGCGCCAAAGACAGCGACAGGCAGGGGGCGGAAGGGAGCCCGAGCAGTATGAGCTTCAGCCATTGGCCTGTCAGCTGAGTGACAGCTTTGAGAACAGCACGTGCACTAGTAAGCTATCCAACAGACCCTCAGTTCTCTCGGATGACATCCAGTTCGATGGGCTGAGTCCCAGGAGGTGTGTGGAGAGGAGCAACATTGAGGCAGATAGTGAAGAGATCTGTGGTAGGCACCACAAAGGCTGCCAACCACCCCCGGCTTTGCAGACCTCTTCCCCTTTCAAAGAGAACACCCTACGGCCAGTAGTTGACCCTCCACGTGACCTGGCTAAGGAAAGGCTCTTGTGCAAGACGTGCAGAGGACAGTCCGCTGGCATCAAGCACTGGAACGTATCGCTGTCCTCTTCCTCAAGCATGGAGGAAACCATCATCAGTCAAACGACAGAAAGGATTTACCAGCCATCCCTCTCAAAGGACCAGGTCACCAATAGCACCTTTAAGCGTCACCCTCACAAACGCCTACTGTCATCTCAGAGTTCATTTGACGGACTAGAGGATTCCAATGAGACTTGCCTGAGTGACACTGAACCTGGACCCTCAAACCAACAGACTTCTATTGAAGCAGAGGGAGAACTGGAACCACAACCAGGGCACCTTAACGGAAAGAGAGACACCCTACGTCTGTCCCTGAGAGAGACCACATATGAGACAGCCTCTCCGGGGTGTGGGAGGGGTCGTACAAGCCAGAGTGACGGACCAGTGATGTTGCCAAACAGTAAACCAGATTTGCCTGATGTATGGATCAAACGAGATGGGCAGAGGGAAGATACAAGCTGAATGGGATTTCAAAAGAGGCTAATCTAAGCATGCAGAAGTGTTCAGTTCATCGTCAGTCAGCTTGATTAGCTCAGTCAGAAACTGCAGAATGTTACGTTGTGAATAAGATTATTTGTAATGGATTTAGACATTTTTGAAAATCCACAGCTAGACAGACACTGGAACTTGGATAATCACTGGCCTTTTTATCTTGGACTGAACCGCCCTGATCTATAGCCATCGTCTGGATAGATCCTTGGACAATAATGTAAATTGAACAACAATAATTTCAAAAATACATTTTAGATGTGAGGGAAGGGGCTCTTTTGTTTGAACACAATGTGCTTACCTATGTATTCCAGGCACCACCATCAAAACAAAACATTTTATCTTAACATGGTGATGGAAAGTCACATCACTACAAGTAGTTCAGAAATTGTGTGTTATGTCAAAATACATTTTGCAACCACTTCAATGTCAGAACGTACCACTCATTGCCGTTGTTCAATGTCAACGGCAAGAAATGTCACATTAATTTGGTGACTTAAGACAATTCTGTGTGTGAACAAATTATTTAGGGGACCTGAACAGCACTGTTACACACTTACAGTAGGAGCTGCAGGTGCACTGCAGAGGTACAGTGGGGGGAAAAAAAGTATTTAGTCAGCCACCAATTGTGCAAGTTCTCCCACTTAAAAAGATGAGAGAGGCCTGTAATTTTCATCATAGGTACACGTCAACTATGACAGACAAAATGAGAAAAAAAATTCCAGAAAATCACATTGTATGATTTTTTATGAATTTATTTGCAAATTATGGTGGAAAATAAGTATTTGGTGAATAACAAAAGTTTCTCAATACTTTGTTATATACCCTTTATTGGCAATGACACAGGTCAAACGTTTTCTGTAAGTCTTCACAAGGTTTTCACACACTGTTGCTGGTATTTTGGCCCATTCCTCCATGCAGATCTCCTCTAGAGTAGTGATGTTTTGGGGCTGTCGCTGGGCAACACGGACTTTCAACTCCCTCCAAAGATTTTCTATGGGGTTGAGATCTGGAGACTGGCTAGGCCACTCCAGGACCTTGAAATGCTTCTTACGAAGCCACTCCTTCGTTGCCCGGGCGGTGTGTTTGGGATCATTGTCATGCTGAAAGACCCAGCCACGTTTCATCTTCAATGCCCTTGCTGATGGAAGGAGGTTTTCACTCAAAATCTCACGATACATGGCCCCATTCATTCTTTCCTTTACACGGATCAGTCGTCCTGGTCCCTTTGCAGAAAAACAGCCCCAAAGCATGATGTTTCCACCCCCATGCTTCACAGTAGGTATGGTGTTCTTTGGATGCAACTCAGCATTCTTTGTCCTCCAAACACGACGAGTTGAGTTTTTACCAAAAAGTTATATTTTGGTTTCATCTGACCATATGACATTCTCCCAATCCTCTTCTGGATCATCCAAATGCACTCTAGCAAACTTCAGACGGGCCTGGACATGTACTGGCTTAAGCAGGGGGACACGTCTCGCACTGCAGGATTTGAGTCCCTGGCGGCGTAGTGTGTTACTGATGGTAGGCTTTGTTACTTTGGTCCCAGCTCTCTGCAGGTCATTCACTCGGTCCCCCCGTGTGGTTCTGGGATTTTTGCTCACCGTTCTTGTGATCATTTTGACCCCACGGGGTGAGATCTTGCGTGGAGCCCCAGATCGAGGGAGATTATCAGTGGTCTTGTATGTCTTCCATTTCCTAATAATTGCTCCCACAGTTGATTTCTTCAAACCAAGCTGCTTACCTATTGCAGATTCAGTCTTCCCAGCCTGGTGCAGGTCTACAATTTTGTTTCTGGTGTCCTTTGACAGCTCTTTGGTCTTGGCCATAGTGGAGTTTGGAGTGTGACTGTTTGAGGTTGTGGACAGGTGTCTTTTATACTGATAACAAGTTCAAACAGGTGCCATTAATACAGGTAACGAGTGGAGGACAGAGGAACCTCTTAAAGAAGAAGTTACAGGTCTGTGAGAGCCAGAAATCTTGCTTGTTTGTAGGTGACCAAATACTTATTTTCCACCATAATTTGCTAATAAATTCATTAAAAATCCTACAATGTGATTTTCTGGATTTTTTTCCCTCAATTTGTCTGTCATAGTTGACGTGTACCTATGATGAAAATTACAGGCCTCTCTCATCTTTTTAATTGGGAGAACTTGCACAATTGGTGGCTGACTAAATACTTTTTTTCCCCACTGTATATATTGAACCTTGTCCTTTGATAATGAAAAAGGAAGGTCATGAACATGCAACCAACCGATGTATTGACAGGCCTGAATCTGACAAAAGGGGATTTTACCGGCCTGTGGCTCCTTCCATCAATACACACGACTTGTAGATAACCCACATCACAGCACTGTGCAAAGAAATGTAGAATCAGCGTTCTATGTAGAGTAATACGAGCTCTACTAAGACTTGACTGGGTATTCAAAAATTGTAGTTATACATCCGCAGAGCAGACAGCCTTCGCTACATTGCACCACCTGCTGGAACATCAGATGAAATACATGTTTGCCTTGACTGGAACACATGCAGTATATGGATCATGGTGTAAAATGTGCAGCATGTGAAAAAATCTTTGCAAGAGTCGTTTTTCCATTTTAAAAAAATGTAAATGTGTTTTGTTTGAAAGGGATATCCTTTACATTAGTGGCAAAACTGTTTCAGAGTTGTTTTTGGTTCAAAATGTGGCGTATCGAATACAACCCAGAATAATGTACACTACCGTTCAAAAGATTGGGGTCACTTAGAAATGTCCTTGTTTTCCATGAAAACATACATGAGTTTGAATAGGAAGTATAGCAAAATGAATAGGAAATGTAGTCATTGACAAGTTTAGAAATAATTATTTTTAATTGAAATAATAATTGTGTCCTTCAAACTTTTCTTTCGTCAAAGAATTCTCCATTTGTAGCAATTACATTCTAGTTGTCAATTTGTTGAGGTAATCTGAAGAGATTTCACCCCATGCTTCCTGAAGCACCTCCCACAAGTTGGATTGGCTTGATGGGCACTTCTTACGTACCATACGGTCAAGCTGCTCCCACAACAGCTCAGTAGGGTTGAGATCCAGTGACTGTGCTGGCCACTCCATTATAGACAGAATACCAGCTGACTGCTTCTTCCCTAAATAGTTATTGCATAGTTTGGAGCTGTGCTTTGGGTCATTGTTCTGTTGTAGGAGGAAACTGGCTCCAATTAAGCGCCGTCCACAGGGTATGGCATGGCGTTGCAAAATGGAGTGATAGCCTTCCTTCTTCAAGATCCCTTTTACCCTGTACAAATCTCCCACTTTACCACCACCAAAGCACCCCCAGACCATCACATTGCCTCCACCATGCTTGACAGATGGCATCAAGGACTCCTCCAGCATCTTTTCATTTGGTCTGCGGCTCACAAATGTTCTTCTTTCTGATCCGAACACCTCAAACTGCGATGCGTCTGTCCCTAACACTTTTTTCCAATCTTCCTCTGTCCAGTGTCTGTGTTCTTTTGCCCATCTTAATCTTTTATTTTTATTGGCCAGTCTGAGATATGGCTTTTTCTTTGCAACTCTGCCTAGAAGGTCAGCATCCCGGAATCGCCCCTTCACTGTTGACATTGAGACTGGTGTTTTGCGGGTACTATTTAATGAAGCTGCCAGTTGAGGACCTGTGAGGCGTCTGTTTCTCAAACTAGACACTCTAATGTATTTGTCCTCTTGCTCAGTTGTGCACCGGGGCCTCCCACTCCTCTTTCTATTCTGGTTAGAGCCAGTTTGCGCTGTTCTGTGAAGGGAGTAGCACATAGCGTTTTACGAGATCTTCAGTTTCTTGGCAATTTCTCGCATGGAATAGCCTTCATTTCTCAGAACATGAATAGACTGACGAGTTTCAGAAGAAATCTCTTTGTTTCTGGCCATTTTGAGCCTGTAATCAAACCCACAATTGCTGATGCTCCAGATAATCAACTAGTCTCGAGGAGGCCAGTTTTATTGCTTCTTTAATCAGCACAACAGTTTTCAGCCGTGCTAACATAATTGCAAAAGGGTTTTCTAATGATCAATTAGCCTTTTAAAATGACAAACACAACGTGCCATTGGAACACAGGACTGATGGTTGCTGATAATGGGCCTCTGTACGCCTATGTAGATATTCCATAAAAAATCTGCAGTTTCCAGCTACAGTAGCCATTTACAACATTAACAATGTCTACACTGTATTTCTGATCAATTTGATGTTATTTTAATGGACAAAAAATTTGCTTTTCTTTCGAAAACAAAGGCAATTTTTTGTGACACCAAACTTTTGAACAGTAGTGTATGTATTAATTAAGAAGGATTTATTATGGTTTGATGCAATGACGGCAAAAATTAATGCAAAGAATTGACAATTTATAAATGTGCCTACAAGAAGGGTTATTTTGAAGTTGTCTCATCCGAAAGGGTTTCCTTTTGACAACTTATTCTGTGATCGTAAGTCTTGGATGAGCTTGCCTTAGAGAAAGGAATGATAGAACTTAACTTCAGGCTTTTTAGCAGCAGAGAAAACGGAAAAAGATTGCAAAGACTATTAAAACCTGAGAACGCAGTACTTGTATTCATTTTCACATGGTGGAAAGTAAAAAATAAAAAGTGTATTTTTCCTGCAGAATGGGTTGTTTTATTCAATATCATGAAGATACAATTCAAATTGTCAAACTTAATTCATTTTCAATTCGAAGGGCTGTTGAAAAAAATCCTAGAGAAACCTCTTCTTGGCTTAGAGTCCAATAGATAATATATGGTCCAAAGTATTAGATCCCCTTAAAGTGAGTCAGAGGGAAATGTATTCTATCATTTAAAAACAGAATTATTCATGAATTACAGAACCGTGAGCCATACAATTAACAACAGAGCTTGGTTCACAAAGTGTCCAAAGACTGTCATTTCAACAAAACAACAACAACAGTGATGCTTTGCATCCTATTTGTCACATCACACCATTTCTATTGTACACTGCCTGCACTTCTGTTGTCCAGTATCACTGTAGTGCCTTAGTCTTCAATCCAGTCATCCTTGGCCCAGTCAGGTAGCAGAGTTGAATATTCAAAATCTGGTCCTTTATAGCGCAACGCATGGAGATACATGACGAGCTCCTTCTCAGTGGGGTCCGGACGGACAATCTTACACTCGCTACACAGAGGATCTTTCGCGTTTGTAGCATCTAGGTGAGAAGATTCTGTGGACTCGGTTTGATCTCCATTTTCTTCAGATGGTCTGGGTACTGCACCAGGTGAGGCTGGACTGCTGTGGACCTGATTTGCACTCTGTTCTACATCACTCGGTGTACAGTCACTTGAAATAGAATTGCAAACCCCTGACAACAGCTCTGGCTGAGGTGTCTGAGCATCTTTGCCATAGACGTCAGTCCGCGCATTGCTCACCTGTACCATTCCCTCATCTGGGATGTCTAGGAGATGAAGACTCTCCTTCAAGCGATGTTCCTCCAGAATCGCTTTGAGAAGCTCTTCGTCGCTCATGCCCACCAGGCCTCCCTTCGCCCTTTGAGGACCCCAAGCAGAGGAGCCATAGACAGGGTCGTTGAGGATAGGGTAGCCCAGGAACTGGAGGTGGACGCGAATCTGGTGAGTGCGGCCAGTGAGAGGGAGGCAACGCACTACACTGGAGTGGCCGTTCCAGCTGAGTCTTTGGAAGACCGTGCGGCAATCCTTGCCTTTGGGATGCACTCTGCACAGTCCCACCTTGAAGGAGACCACAAGGATGGGCTCCTCACAGATGATCTCGCCCTCTGGGAACTCCCCCTCCACTCGACAGACGTACTCCTTCTCCAGCTGTAAAAGATGACAGACTGTATCAGCCACTTAGAAGTACATTGTATGTTCCCTCTCAGAGAGAGAGAGAGAGATTATACTTGACGCCCCACTTATTAGTACACTCAATGTCCCTTTTCGACTGATTGGTGTATACTGGACTACCATAATGTAGACTGAGAATGTTTCACCTGTCTGTCTCGCACCAACACATCCAGTTTCTGGGACACTTCCAGAGTGCGGGCGAACAGCAGCACCCCAGACGTGAGGCGATCCAGCCGGTGCACAGTGTGAAGGCCACATATGCCCCGTTCCTTCCCCAGGATGAAGATCACCGTGTTGTGACGGAAGCGCCCGCAAGGATGGACTGGCATCGAGGCTGGCTTGTCAACTACCAACACTTCCCCGTTATCTTCCAGAATCTCCAGCGGCCGTCCGACTACAGGCGGCTCATGGCGATGCACTGTATTCCTTAGGAAGTCATTGTTCTGAGGGGGGAAAAGACAAAGAGTTTGACAATATTCTGCACAGATTTTATTTAAAAAAACATAGGGGCCAAGTTAGATAGATAGGACACAACAGTCTATTTACATTTTAGTCATTTAGCAGACGCTCTTATCCAGAGCGACTTACAGTTAGTGAGTGCATACATTTTCATACTGGCCCGCTGTGGGAATCGAACCCACAACCCTGGCGTTGCAAGCGCCATGCTCTACCAACTGAGCTACACAGGATCTATCTATCTATTTCAAGCCAACATATTCATAGACTGAGTCAGGGACGAGACAAAGATTGAACTCACCCTGAGTGTTACAGAGAGGTCATCCACTGGTGTCTCGTTGAGTCGGATGCGTCCTAGTTTGGAAGCCATAATGTAGTACTCCAACGGCTGAGCTCGGAATTCACTGCTGAAAACCTCGAGAAGACTTTTCCCAATCCAGCGTCCCTTGCAGTACGTTTTGAAGTCGAAGTAGTATGGGTGCACTTTGCGTAGACCTCCTTCAAAATAGTAAGTGGTTTCATCAAAATGCTCTTTGCTGAAGCTCACCCCGGGGTTGCGTTTTTGAGGGGGAGGAATGTATCTCTCTCCTGGACGGAGTTGTTTCTTCCCACCCCCTCCTCGTCGTCTCTTTCCACGACTACTTTTCTCTGGGTCATCTTTTTCTTCGCTCTTACGTTTACAAGTTTCTTTCAACTCGTCTGTGGTAGAAGCGACTGTTGTGTTTGAGGTATTTACCGCGGACACCCTCGTCACTTCTGTCGACTCCATTGTATGCGACACTACTGTAAAACGGTGTTGATGCAAACGTGGGCCAGATGACAACTCCTTTACTGAGTTGTAAAATGTATGTTCTTTTGTCACTTTACAAATTACATCTCTATCATTTGTGACGTTTGTCAATTGCGCACTGCAAGGTCTAGCACGTGATAGTGTTCTGTTATCAAGCGTTATTTCGCGTTTGTTAAAGAGTTTGAGAACATAGAAAATGTTCTTGAAATAACGTACCATCAACTTTAAGAAAGATTCTATCGTTTTCTCAAAGGAGTTCTTTAAAACCACTGTTTGTCTGGTTATGGTTAAATAAAATACCCTGTAAAACGTGTCCAAACTACTCACATGTATCTCCCTGAAGCAGCCATGAAAGTATGGGTCACCCTTCCAAATGACTACCGGCACTCGTCGATGACGCCACTGTGTGTTAGTAGTCCGTTTCAAAGCCTTATCAAATATCATCAATATTGCTTCACACCTTACGCTTCACACATACACTACAACACAATAAAATCATAGACCTAAATAAATAGCATTTATGATCTCTTATACAGGCAATGGTTAAATTGATAGTGCATAAAAAAAACAACAAAGCCAAACAAATAAACCAACATTATTTCCATACATTTACACACAATCAAGTATTTTCATTACAACATTTGTATTAATAAATTATGACATTACTGTATAATTATTTCAGTATTTCTTCTTCAAAATAAAGACTAAAGTGCATCAATTCCCATCGCTATGTAAAACGGGTTGTTTTTCTGTTGCCAATACAGAGTAATTGTGATCATTTATAGGTTAGACTATGTTTACTTGCATTCACATCAGACATTAGAAAAAAGTTAATGTTCACTTTTATCAAGACATCTTCATGTTGGTTGGTTGAACTCTGATCACTCAATTTGTATGAGGGTTATCATGTCCCTTGCATTTTTACCTTTCAGCTAGACATTTTTACCTTTCAGCTAGACATTTTTACCTTTCAGCTAGACATTTTTACCTTTCAGCTAGACATTTTTACCTTTCAACTAGATTGAGATCTACATAACTCAATAGCTGCAGCACCACCTCCTGCTAGGGCAACCACACCACACGGCAGTCTCCTCCTGCTAGGTTAACCACACCAGACAGCAGTATCCTCCTGCTAGGTTAACCACACCACACAGCAGTCTCCTCCTGCTAGGTTAACCCCACCACACAGCAGTCTCCTCCTGCTAGGTTAACCACACCACACGGCAGTCTCCTCCTGCTAGGTTAACCCCACCACACAGCAGTCTCCTCCTGCTAGGTCAACCCCACCACACAGCAGTCTCCTCCTGCTAGGTTAACCCCACCACACGGCAGTCTCCTCCTGCTAGGTTAACCCCACCACACGGCAGTCTCCTCCTGCTAGGTTAACCCCACCACACAGCAGTCTCCTCCTGCTAGGTTAACCCCACCACACAGCAGTCTCCTCCTGCTAGGTTAACCCCACCACACAGCAGCCTCCTCCTGCTAGGTTAACCCCACCACACAGCAGTCTCCTCCTGCTAGGTTAACCCCACCACACAGCAGTCTCCTCCTGCTAGGTTAACCCCACCACACAGCAGGCTCCTCCTGCTAGGTTAACCCCACCACACAGCAGTCTCCTCCTGCTAGGTTAACCCCACCACACAGCAGTCTCCTCCTGCTAGGTTAACCCCACCACACAGCAGCCTCCTCCTGCTAGGTTAACCACACCACACAGCAGTCTCCTCCTGCTAGGTTAACCCCACCACACAGCAGTCTCCTCCTGCTAGGTTAACCCCACCACACAGCAGTCTCCTCCTGCTAGGTTAACCACACCACACAGCAGTCTCCTCCTGCTAGGTTAACCCCACCACACAGCAGTCTCCTCCTGCTAGGTTAACCCCACCACACAGCAGTCTCCTCCTGCTAGGTTAACCCCACCACACGGCAGTCTCCTCCTGCTAGGTTAACCCCACCACACGGCAGTCTCATCCTGCTAGGTTAACCCCACCACACGGCAGTCTCCTCCTGCTAGGTTAACCCCACCACACAGCAGTCTCCTCCTGCTAGGTTAACCACACCACACGGCAGTCTCCTCCTGCTAGGTTAACCCCACCACACGGCAGTCTCCTCCTGCTAGGTTAACCCCACCACACAGCAGTCTCCTCCTGCTAGGGCAACCACACCACACAGCAGTCTCCTCCTGCTAGGTTAACCACACCACACGGCAGTCTCCTCCTGCTAGGTTAACCCCACCACACGGCAGTCTCCTCCTGCTAGGTTAACCACACCACACGGCAGACTCCTCCTGCTAGGTTAACCACACCAGACGGCAGTCAAATCAAATCAAATCACCTTACAGTGAAATGCTTACTTACAAGCCCTTAACCAACAATGCAGTTTTAAGAAAAGGCAGTCACCTCCTGCTAGGGCAACCACACCAGACAGAGCACACCTCTGGGAAGAGAAACACAGAACAGCATCTCTCAGGAGATCAGCTCTAGATGTGGGATGATGAATTAAGGCAAGGTCATGACAGCAGGTGGTGACAAAACTGACATCAGTTAAGGTTTAGGATTTAAGATTTTCATGTCCTGCCCATTTATCTGCATACTATATATACAATTTCTGTAGCTAGTGTTCAGATACCCTTTATGTAGTGCATACATACCCTTTATGTAGTGTACAGATACCCTTTATGTAGTGCACAGATACCCTTTATGTAGTGCATACATACCCTGGCCTTTATGTAGTGTATACATGTATACACTACATGTAGTGAGGGAAAAAGTATTTGATCCCCTGCTGATTTTGTACGTTTGCCCACTGACAAAGAAATTATCAGTCTATAATTTTAATGGTAGGTTTATTTGAACAGTGAGAGACAGAATAACAACAACAAAAATCCAGAAAAACACATGTCAAAAATGTTATAAATTGATTTGCATTTTAAATGAGGGAAATAAGTATTTGATCCCCTCTCAATCAGAAAGATTTCTGACTCCCAGGTGTCTTTTATACAGGTAACGAGCTCAGCTTGTTACCTGTATAAAAGACACCTGTCCACAGAAGCAATCAATCAATCAGATTCCAAACTGTCCACCATCGCCAAGACCAAAGAGCTCTCCAAGGATGTCAGAGACAAGATTGTAGACCTACACAAGGCTGGAATGGGCTACAAGACCATCGCCAAGCAGCTTGGTGAGAAGGTGACAACAGTTGGTGCGATTTTTCGCAAATGGAAGAAACACAAAATAACTGTCAATCTCCCTCGGCCTGGGGCTCCATGCAAGATCTCCCCTCGTGGAGTTGCAATGATCATGAGAACGGTGAGGAATCAGCCCAGAACTACACGGGAGGATCTTGTCAATGATCTCAAGGCAGCTGGGACCATAGTCACCAAGAAAACAATCGGTAACACACTACGCCATGAAGGACTGAAATCCTGCAGCGCCCGCAAGGTCCCCCTGCACATATACAGGGCCGTCTGAAGTTTGCCAATGAACATCTGAATGATTCAGAGGCGAACTGGGTGAAAGTGTTGTGGTCAGATGAGACCAAAATTGAGCTCTTTGGCATCAACTCAACTCGCCGTGTTTGGAGGAGGAGGAATGCTGCCTATGACCCCAAGAACACCATCCCCACCGTCAAACATGGAGGTGGACACATTATGCTTTGGGGGTGTTTTTCTGCTAAGGGGACAGGACAACTTCACCGCATCAAAGGGACAATGGACGGGGCCATGTACCGTCAAATCTTGGGTTAGAACCTCCTTCCCTCAGCCAGGGCATTGAAAATGGGTCGTGGATGGGTATTCCAGCATGACAATGACCCAAAACACACGGCCAAGGCAACAAAGGAGTTGCTCAAGAAGAAGCACATTAAGGTCCTGGAGTGGCCTAGCCAGTCTCCAGACCTTAATCCCATAGAAAATCTGTGGAGGGAGCTGAAGGTTCGAGTTGCCAAACGTCAGCCTCAAAACCTTAATGACTTGGAGAAGATCTGCAAAGAGGAGTAGAACAAAATCCCTCCTGAGATGTGTGCAAACCTGGTGGCCAACTACAAGAAACGTCTGACCTCTGTGATTGCCATCAAGGGTTTTGCCACCAAGTACTAAGTCATGTTTTGCAGAGGGGTCAAATACTTATTTCCCTCATTAAAATGCAAATCAATTTATAACATTTTTGACATGTGTTTTTCTGGATTTTTTGGTTGTTATTCTGTCTCTCACTGTTCAAATAAACCTACCATTAAAATTAGACTGATCATGTCTTTGTCAGTGGGCAAACGTACAAAATCAGCAGGGGATCAAATACTTTTTTCCCTCACTGTACCCTTTATATAGTGTATACATACCCTTTATGTAGTGTATACATAACCTTTATGTAGTGTATACATACCCTGGCCTTTATGTAGTGTATACATACCCTTTATGTAGTGCATACATACCCTTTATGTAGTGCATACATACCCTTTATGTAGTGTATACGTACCCTTTATGTAGTGTATACGTACCCTTTATGTAGTGTATACGTACCATTTATGTAGTGTATACATACCCTGGCCTTTATGTAGTGTATACATACCCTTTATGTAGTGTATACGTACCCTTTATGTAGTGTATACGTACCCTTTATGTAGTGTATACGTACCATTTATGTAGTGTATACATACCCTGGCCTTTATGTAGTGTATACATACCCTGGCCTTTATGTAGAGTATACATACCCTGGCCTTTATGTAGTGTATACATACCCTGGCCTTTATGTAGTGTATACATACCCTGGCCTTTATGTAGTGTATACATACCCTGGCCTTTATGTAGTGTATACGTACCCTTTACGTAGTGTATACGTACCCTTTACGTAGTGTATACGTACCCTTTACGTAGTGTATACGTACCCTTTACGTAGTGTATACGTACCCTTTACGTAGTGTATACGTACCCTTTACGTAGTGTATACGTACCCTTTATGTAGTGTATACATCCCCTCTGGCAGTAGTACTGTTCTCGGACCTTGCTTCCCCCATCAGGACCAACATGCAACTCCAGTCTTCCACCAGGCTCCAACTGATCCAAGAGCTGCAGCATTAGAGAACATGTTGAGTGTAAATTACTGTATAAATGATGAGCAATGCTAGCAATATGGTTATTGAAGGAATTACAAATGCTTTTCTTCAGTGTGGAAAATGCACTAATTTACTTTCCCTCCGTTGTAAAAAGACAATGTTGTAAAACAATAGGTGGTTACCAATAAAACGTGACAATAAGGTGCAGAGCTGTAAGGGGTTGATGTGCGGTAAAACCCTGGTGCGGTGCAGGATACACAATAGGCAGTAGGCAGAGATGGTGAAACAAGGCTCTTTACTGGTGGTCCCAAAA